TTTCCGGGGGATTGTGGGGGGTGGAGTTGGAATTGGAATTGGGGATGGGCAGGAAGAGGAAGAGAGGGAGTTGAGGAGGGAGTTGGTGAAGAGAATCAGATTCTTTGATGGTGATGATGAGTCTTCTTCTTCTTCTTCTTCTTCATCGAGTTCTTCTAGTTCTTCCGGTTCTGCAACCTTATCGTTGGTAAACATAGCCAGAGAAGAAGAAAATACTAAAACCATCGCCGAAATCCGGCGTCAAATCGGAGAAACTTTCACCATCAACCACCACCAACCTAGAACCCCTCTTCCTCTTCCTCTTCCTCTTCCCGACAAAGAAGGAGATATCCTCATAAATTCGCACAACAGCTTCAACGATCCACCCAGCGATATCAACACCTCAACTAATAACAATAAACACATAGAAATCATGAGAGACGGTGATATAGGTCTGAATCATTCCCCAGAGTATCCAGGCGATACTTGCTATCTCCCGACATCCCCCCTACTTACTCCAAATAAAAATACAAATAGGAAGATAGGTATTAGTGCCTCGAGTGGGAAGCCGGGATTCGTGAATAGTCTCGGAGGAAAGAATGAGAGTCCACCTAGTAGTCCCCTTTGCGAGGAGGTTTCTTGGGACTGGGGTTCGGAGGGGGATGGGGATGGGGATGGGCAGAGTGCTGGTGGGAAGAAAGAAGAGATGCGTGATGATGACCTTGGGGATCTGGGGATTCAATGGGTGTCAGATGCGAAAGCTGGAAAGAGATGAGGAATGAGGGTTAAGGATTGTGGATTTAGATTATGCTTGGTGGAGGTGATGAGATTTAGGTGAGGGGGTAGGATATAATGTGTGTTTACTGTATTATTTGGGTTACGGAGTAGATATAGGATGAGATAGGATAGGATAGGATAGGGGTGTATAAGAGAGAGATGAGGAGTAAGTGTTAAAGGATTGTGGATTTGGAGTGTTAAGAGGGTGATAAGATTTAGGTGAGGGGGTAGGGTATGATGTGTGTTTACTGTATTATTTAGGTTACGGAGTAGATATATGGATAGGATGAGATGGGATGGGATAGGGGTGTATGATTATGTATACTATACTAAAAATCAAATCGACGTTCTACGTAGTATTTGGAAATACGTTAGATTACTCGTACCGAAAACAATACGTCGCCTAAATACAGTAGCTAGACCTCAACAAACACCCTTGAATTCCTAGCCCAGATAGCAACGACAGCGTATTAACAAAATTAATCAAATACTCAACGCTACTTGAGTAGTATCCTAGTTGCGTTGAATTGAGTATGCTTAGGTGAATATGTTGAGTTGAGGTGAGTTAAGTAGTAGAGTTTACTATTCGAGTAGTTATATATAGGGGGTATTTTCATATCACGTAAGAACAGACAAACAACCGACAAGAGCCAGCAGCAGAGGCAGGAACCTTCAACATCTTCATATTTCCTGCCTGAGAGTAGGATACGTACGAGACCTAAGGCTTTCTTTTTCGCGTTCTTATTACTTTGCTTCTCTTAGCTCTACTTAATTTACTCTTTTAACTAGCTAGGTAAGTGCTCTAGTTCTATCGAAGTGTTAAATCTATCGATTACTTATAGTACCTACGTTTACTTGTAGGAGTAATACGTTCTTATTTCAGGGTACAATACCCTCTTCTAATTTAAGTAACGCTTCCTATACTCCTATTTATATAGGTCTAGAGAAAACGTAACTTTATCCCTATAATTTAATCTAAATAGTATAGGGGGTAGCTAGCTAGTTTAGGAAGGAGGAGGAGGGGGGAGCGATATATATTATAATATAAACAATACTATTATAATAACGAACTTTGCTAGTAAGTAACTTAAATTCGATAACTTTACTAGATAAGGAGGGCTCTCTAGGTGTGGTTTTAGCCTATAGGGTTTTCTTATACTCGTTATACAAATGTGGGAGAGGAGTATATATTTATAGGGTCGGCGCTAGCGGTAGATATCTACTATACTTTCTACTTCTTTATATATACCTATACCCACGTATATATGGACGCAGTACTCGCCTTGCGGAGCCGCTCACTTACCTCTTACCTACTCACTCGTTCGCTCACGGCTCCGTAAGGCTCTTACTAGTACCCTAGGGCTCTTTAAACCCTAGGTGCTGGTCCTATATATGTATCCCCTTCTCCCTCGTGAGCCTGAGCAGGATAAACGTAAATATGAAAACGTGATAATGATACACGAAACTCATCCTCGAATAACATATGCCGATTTAGCGGCCCTTAGCTAAGTCCAGGTGCGCCCGCCTGGAGACCGGCTAGCGAGCCGGAGGTGCTTCGGGGCATCGGGCCGACGCTACTCGATTAACTCATGAGTTAATTGAGTACTTGGCGAGTTGAGTACTCGAGTTGAGTTAATTAGGTGCCATTACTCAACTCAACTACTCGAATTTAATACGCTGAGCAACGAACCACCTGAACAGCATGCTCCTATAGTCCTGTACCTGAACAAGCTGAATATCGAAGAAAGCCCGCATACGCGGTGCCTGCCGAGACATGCAGAAATCCTCCCTTTGATCCGCGAACGTCAACAAACCGCAGATCTTTGACAGGATTTCGACCCGCAGGATTTGGAGAGGTCTAGATAGATTAATCATTGATTTGTTAGGTCACACAGCGTGTTGGGCTTTTTTATGTGGATTCTGTAAGCAGGATATGGGATGGATAATTTGGCGACGTCGATCGAAGATACACAAATTCGATGTTGAAATTCCATGGCTGGAGATACAGTATTCCGTGGGGGTTGGCCGGGTAAATTGGAATGCTTGTTATCCAGGCGAGTTGCAGTACATTACCAGACTTTACGGGTTTTTCTTTTGAAGGGGAGTGCCTTGATTTGACGGCTGGTACAGGGAGTTCCTAGTCGGTACCGGTTGGATGGTTCCTTGAGGACCCGAGGAGAAAATCTTTCTGCAAGGGCGTGGCGTGAGAGGGATTAATTTTGGTATTATGGTTCTTGGTGGCTGTTGGCTTGTTGGTGGGCTGAGGGCCTGTTGAGTGGCAATACATTAATTAATGTTGGAATCTTGATCTCTTCAATTGCATGGTTATATCTGAAAGGTCTATTAAGTACACACTTTGCCCCTGTCCCATCGGTTAATTAGCCATGGGATAATTAGTCGATAAGAAAATGATACTTTGGAGATACCAGACTTTGAATATATGAGATTCAATTAGCTTCACTTTATTAAACAAGGGTAAAGATCATCGAACGCCCGTGACAAGCAAAACCGAAAACTCCATTCATACCCAGAAAACGCAAAGCAATCTCTCCACATCTTTGTCTAGAACTTTTCCCCAACATCGCCACTTCCAGGCCCAAGAAATTTTATTACAAGATTATGCGGCTAATCTTCCTAAGCCTTCCCGAGCGCAAGACTATCAATATCGTAATTGGCAAAGAAAGGCAAAAAGCTCAACACTTGCGGCGCGACGGCACATCCTGCCTTGCCCGGCATGGGGGTGGTGGCATTGAATGAGACAAGCTGCAAGCGCCCACCATTACATGACTTGCATGTTGCCGTCGCCACGTACGTCTGGTTGATCTCCAAAGTCCGTCCAATAATCTGCAGCATATCCAAGCCATCCAATTGACGGATCGTGAAGAGGGCGGTTGCTTCTTTTGAGCCGGTGACATTGATGAGGCGGTTCTCACAGCGTCTTCCTAGACCTTGTTGTGTAAGCCCTTCTATTCCTGTGGCTCTTGAGACCGCGCTATCTGGGACGGCTCCTGCGACGTAGACCAGGGCCTGGGATTCTTGGCCAATGGGGATGGTGTTGATGACTTCGAGTGTTGAGATGTCGACGACGTCCATGGTGTCGCTGTGCTCGTTTACGTAGTACATTCGTGTGTTATCGGGACTTCCCCAAATTCCATGGGGTTCAATTCCTTTGGCCTGTATTGATTTGACGAAAGTTGGTTGTGAGTCAGGCGTATCCTGTCGCCAAACTTGGGTTTGGTTGGCAGAAGCGACAGTGATGAAAGCATGTGTGATCCCGTTGATGACTGCGAAGTTGGGATGATTGGTCTCAGCTCCAGTATCTAGGATTGCGATGACTTTTTTGGTCTCAAGGTTGATAACGCTCGTTTTTCCAGCTTGCTTGTGGACTGCCCAGATTTGAAGGCCATCTGGCGATAGCATCATATCTGAGGAGAAGACGTCTGCTAAGCCAGAAATTGTCTCAATGACCTCCCGTGATGCAACATCGATGATATTGATAGTTGGAGATTCTAGAAACTTGTTTAGCTTTTGGTTGAAAGTTTTGCTTATATAAATACACTCAGAATTGCATCTCCTCAGTTATGAAAGTAAAGGTAGTGTAAAATAAAGAAGAAACCCACTGATATGGTTGACATAGGCAAGTTTGCCATCAGGACTAAAAAGAACCTTACTTGGTCCATCATCAGTTGCAATTTTATCAATGACACCTCCTTTCATAGGATCCACAAGATTGACAAATTTCGTGCCTCTGCAAGCAACCCACACAGTCTGGCCATCATGGGCAAAAAAGGATTCGTGAGATGCTCTATCAACAGTAGTTTGTGAGACAATGCTGTTGTTGGCGGTACGAATGACTGTGAGTGTGCTTGTTGCGATACTGGTGTGACTGATATATTGTCCATCTTGAGAGAACCCCAAACCATGACTACTGATGACTGAAAGATATTGAGGGTTGAGTTGATCTGTCAAACGTGGTTTTCCCAAGGAGATTGTTCCAAGAACTTCATTTGTCAGAGGCTTGATGACTGTGATAGTGTTTGATGTCTGATCCGCTGTATAGATTCTGTCAGAGGCACTGATGGCTTGACCTGCTCCAGCAGGAGCTGGTGCTTGAGATAGCCCAGTTGTCCAAGTACTGAAGAGTAGAGCACCCAGAAGGAAGGTAAGTAGTGAAGTTGGCATTGTTCAAAACTTTATAAGTTGGAGCAACAGTGCATTAGCGAATGAAAGTAGAAGTTTAGATGTGCTCAAAGTTTTAATTGTAGAGAACGTGCTCAGCGGGTCCCTTGCTGAATATTTCGGAATGCTGGGTGGAGAATGATATCATAGTGGCAGTTCAGAAAAATGCTTTGTATGGAAGTATTCAAATCTTTTACGCAATGACCCACCAAAGGAAATATGTACCTTTTTCAATTCACTAATTCAACCCGCCCCCTCCCACACACACAGTCAAACCAAGATGTTCTTCATCATCCCCCCAATGTCAACAGGGAATTCGTAGTTTGGTACGTTCGCGGGTGGCTGATTCGGCTGATTCGGCTGATTCCGTTTGGCCCTCTTGTTTACGAGCAAGCGATATGAGATTGGCGTAGCGCCAGTCAATAAAAGCAGCAGGAAGTACTTTGGGCCTTTGGCTTAAAGCACCTGTTTTGGAAGTTGTCAGGTCCCTTTTTGAACTAATCGCAGAGAAACCTCGATACGACGATTCTCATGCAATAACCTCGACTATGTCTTACAAATTTTAGGTCCAAATTTTCTTTTGCACCTAGAAATTTACCCTACGATCAGGATAATCTAGAACATATACAATATTTGTTTTCGAATGTCTACTCTTTTGCACCTAAAATCACCTTGCGGTAAGGTTGACCTTGACTATATCTTTACAAATCCCGCCCTAGTTAGAACCCTTGTAACGAGAGTTTTCTGTAGCCTGCAAGACTGAAAAGCAGGGCTGTCGAAACTTATGCCGCTTTTATCGATAAAACTGAAAACGAATGAATTGACTTTAGCAAAATTGAACTCTATCCCAATTCAGTATCATGCAATAGGCTTCTCCGTGGGATTCTGCTAAACCCGTGGTTGAAAAATATAGCAAGCTCCTGCAGGCTGTATGTACAGTATGTCAGATTGTTCCGTGATCCCGGTTGGAAATGCAACGAATACGACTGGTGATTAGGAGGGGAGAAACACGTAATTGAGAACGATGTTGATCGTTGCTGTATCTCGGATAAAAACTTATCGGCCTTACCTCCGTAGGCACGTGGCGATCTTCCTAGTTTGGGACTAGTCTGATATTCAACGACAACTCTGCTCGTGAAACAGACAGCGGTTCAAACCACCAACAGCACGTAACTCTCGAAAATCTTTCGTTATCCTCCCGTGTCTGTTCTCTGTCAAAAACCCAGTACCATATAAGGGGGACTATAGGCAAATATAAGCTGTGCCGGTACCGAGTGTGGGAATTGGCTGCTTTTTATATGCTGGGATGATGTGAAGAGAAGCTTTCCGCGTACCCCAGTACATACATATAGTCTTGGTAAAGCGAATAAGGGCCCCATGCTCTTTTACCGCTTTGGAATGCTCTATCACTTCTTCCAGTCCCCATTCCGGACAACATATTAAGTATATGGGAGCCAACACAAGGTCGTTCTGTGGATCCCCCACCATTATTCGGTCGTTGCATGAGTGATTTGGCAGCCCTTCGAGACTCAGCTGGTCCAGCTGAAGGTTGTTTGGACGTTTCTTTTTGTTCGGCATGGATACCACAAAATGAGTTACATCATTTTGGCCGAGATGACCAGTGTTACAGCAAGTCATGTGAAGGACTAATGGTACGAGTCAATTGCGGAAGGCCAAACTCGAATCCTGACACTACAAGCTTGATCACCCTCAAAAGTTGGGCTCCAGCTCATCTTTATCCACGTTCCCCTTCGAACCAAGGGATATGGACCTTTTTCGTATACCTGGAGCGATGCTTCAAACCAGACAGCAATTAGAGTGACTTGGCAACCACTTTTTATTGGCGATTATGAGAGTCTCGTTAAAATGCATTGCACTTCTACTAAAATGTATTACACCCCCCCTACCGCCGCCTTCGTTGACTCGGCATTTCTACTTTAGTATTATTTTGGGTGCAAGTAGGAAACGCGTCTTCATAGCTAGGAGTCCTTCTCATAAACAGACAACATTTAAAGCTATTCACACTTTGTTAGATACCCTGTGCCTCACACACCCTTCTGCCCTTGCTGTTCCTGTCGCCGCTCGTCGAGCACTTATACAACCTCCCGCTACTCCTATATCGCCGTCGAACCAAGGAGGGTATACTACGTTGGCGTAGGGTTTTGGCGACGAGGTACCTTAAAAAGAACAACTTATTAATAAAGCTACCTTAGTGTTTTTGAGGGACCCCGAGACGCGGATCCCTCGAAACGCCCCAGTTGCCTTATTAGGTTAGTGCAATGCATTTTAACAGGACTGCAATGCACTTTAACGAGACTCGATTATGAGTGTAGGTTCGTACTAAAAGGTTGTTGTAAACCTACCTAAAGTGTTGCCACTACCAAAAGTCAAATAAGGCCTTAACTTTTGTTAAAACTAATAAAAGGTAATCCACAAGTTATCCCACTTTTTAGTCCCCATTTGAACCTAGTACAAGTAAATCTAGCGTTCGTGTTCTAGATACACTTCTCGTACTTGTATTTATATTAGAAACTGTCCCTTTATAGTCTTTATTCGATAACAATTCTTTACTAAAATCAGCTAGCTAAACCTCTTATAAAATCATAAACCTTATTACTTATACGCTAAAAACCTTTACCACTAACATTAAAGATCGGTTGCCAAATCACCCTATTTGATACGAACTCGTTACTAAAACTGGCCTGCCAAAACTCTCATAAAATCATAACCTTGTTACTTGTACGCTAAAAAAGACTTTGCCACTAACATCAAAGATTGGTTGCCAAATCACTCTATTCAATAAACAGGGCTTTTATTTGTACTCATATTTGCTGGATGCTTTGTGAGCTATGGCCTCCAACATTTATTGTCCGCTCATGTTATGGTTGGATGGCAGGATGCTATTCAGGTGATAATCATGCGAGACATATTATGCCATGCTGAGTTTACAATTCTGGGAAGTGGACGACGAGCTTTGGTACATGATGTTGAAGGCAATTCCTGAAGCATCGCTCGGAAAATAGAAAAACATGATGATCTGCAGACCGCAACGAGTAATTCACATGCGTGCAAGGCTAAGCTTGAGCCATAAAACTCTTCAGTTCTCATTGCTCCAGTCCAAAATGGTTCTTCAGAAGGTATCCTTGATACTTAAGGATTTGTCTCCCACCAACATCCTTATATCTAGGTTTTTCTGTAGCTTTGGTAAAGATTTTATAACTCTAATTAGCATGGTGGACCCTAGATGTACACTCTGAGTCAAACAGGCCGTTAGTACGTAACTTTCCGTGGTCTTGTTTTCCAAAAGGTGGCGGTTTTTGAGGACAGTTAGTCTTAATAGTAGGTATGTCCAAAACGGTGTATATAACGGTTACCTGCCATCTGTGCTAACTTGCTGAATCCATAAAATCAACTTCATATACACAACCTCAATCAATCTTGTCTCCCTATACAAACAAACAAAATAAACGCCTACTGAACTATGAAATTTCACACTCTCTTCACCTTAACCCTTATTTCGGCCGTCTCAGCAATCCCCTCCAATGCTGAGCAACACAAAACACCATCAGATCCTGAAAACCCCAACCCATATGGAGGAAAGAGAGGGCAGGATACCTAACTGCCCAAGGGGTTCTGCCTATGTTTGAGGTCGATAACCAGTCAGACAAGCGTTGTTTTTCACCCCTCAACGAGTGTGCGACCTGTCTTGTTCTGGTCAGGGTTGCACCTCCGATTTTCTTCTGGTTAAGCCAGAATCAAAACAGACAAAGAAAACCTCTCCGTATATCCGACCCACCAGAAGATATTTGCACAAAGAGTTAGCCCAACAACATCTAGATACTGATGGATACAATGAAAATAAAATAAAAAAGTCAAATAAAAAAGAAAGCAGCCGGACGAGGAGTCGAACCTCAATCTTCCCTACACCAACCTCTATGGAGTTATCCAAACAACCCCACCAAAATGCCAGCTTTGGGAGCTCGTTACACCTATCTCTTCTCCTTCAAGGATAGCCCCTATATGAACCGACTTATGGCTATAGCGGAAGTAGGTTATATGGTTACTTATAGGCTGTGAGGGTTAGAACCCATAGTGGGGCTCGGGCCAAGAGCCCTCGCTAAGCTAAGCGACCCCGCCTCTGGAACGCCATGGAATAAGATAGAATGCTATGACGCAGAAGATTGGCAATACTATGGAACAGTGTTGAATGCAATGGAAATGCTACATTTAGTATAAGAGTAGAGGAGGAACATGTATTTACAGACCACGTAGTTCTTAATTGAATATTGAACCCACACCTTTGAGTTGTTCGAGGTCTGGCCTCTCACATAGACCGATTAATAGCATAGTTAGTCCAGACCCTTCTATTAAGAGGTTAGTTAAATTAATATTAAATTAAATTAATATAGAAAGAGATATAAATATTACTTACTAATAACCTCTTTAAAGGTATCTAACTATTATAGTCCTTTGGGTATTCGGTGTAACGAATACTCAAACTGGCTAACTAAACTTGGCTGGGTGTTCGCTGGTTGGTATGCTATGATAAGAAGAAGACTATCGGGTTGTTCACTTGGAAGTGAACTCGTTACTTGTATCAAAGATGTCAAACTAATATGATAAGATTGATAACTAAGTTGATAACTAAGTTGAGCAAGAAGCTCCTATCTAATGGCAGACATGCCAGTGTTATATAGAACCTTCTTGCTCATGGATCTGGTTGGATCCTAGGATCCC